TCACAGCCTGGAAAGTCAGCTTCAGTTTTGCAGACAGCTTGTAGAATACACTTATTGAGATGTGATAAGTAACCTGCCTTTCTTGTCCTCTGCCTCAGCAAACAGAAGAAACAAAGCCCACGAAGTGCCTGCATAACATCTGCATGTGTTGAGAGGGAAGCTGCTCCTTTGCCAACACTCCTCTCTGTTAGTCTTACTGGGAAAGAGACACAGGCACCATTATCAGAGAGGAGCTACATGATGCATATGCATTGATAACAGGGACTTGGAGTGATGAAATGACTTTTCAGTGGCGGCAGTGCACTTGTCTTCCCTTCTACGTGTACACAGCACCCAGCCCTGGAGCAGATGAAAGCAGTGATATTGCAGTCCATGGTATTGGCACCCAGGTGGAACAGAAGATGTAAATACAGCTAGCAATGTGTGCAGGATTGACTTTTGATGTTGCTTAGTACAAAAGGAGGCCTTTTGCACTTTCAGTCAGTTCTGCCACCAGCTGGGAAGGATCATTTGCTTCAATTCAGGCTTGCTGAGACCGGCGTTGTATCTGGCACAAAAATGTGAAAGAATTGGAAAAACAACTAATGTCTTTCAAGCCACAGGGAAAAAAAATAGCACCCAAGGATTCACAGATGACTTTGGCTCCTTTATGGGGTTGCTCTGAGATGATTTGCTCCGTGAGTGAAGGCCTGATTTGCTGGTAGCATAGGTCATCAGTCCACATTCTCTGATGTGGGCATCAAAGCCACAAAATACACCTGTTTGTGCAAAACAAGTGAAAAACAACAAATAACCAATCCGCATTTTAAAAAAAAGCCCTGAAAAATACCTTGGCATAAGGCAGATGTTATGATCTGTGAAGAGGCTTTGTCTTCCATGCTGGTCAGTCATGTAGCTTTGACATTTAAGTTTTTAAAAGTCTTTTGAGTTTTTAAAAGACAGAAAAACTTTTAGGTATTTTAAGTTTCATTTACTCAATGCTTGGAGCATATCTCATTTAAGAGAGATTGTACTGCAGGATTTGATTCTCTTTCAATGTATGTCGGCCCTGCAGTAAGCACATTCAGAACCATTCCTGGCTAAATTATTTTGCAGACCCTTTTTCCATCCTTAGCCAGTACTTTACCACCATCAGGCAGCTCTTTTCCTCGAGTAATTACATTTCTGTGGAATTCTCCTTGTCAGGAATACAAGTTGCAAAAATTTGTATGGTAGAGTTCACACAGATTTATTGTGAAGATGGGCAGGTGAAAATTGTAAAGTAAGATTTGGTAATAAAAGTCATTCTTATTGCCAGCGGTTGTGTCTTATCAGCTGAGAGTTTGCAACAAGCCTGTCTGATTGACAGGGCAGGGAGAAAAGTTAAAGCAGAGACTTCTGCTGGAACCTGCAGCTTTACTGTAACAAGGTGACCCCAGCAGAGCAGAAGACTCAGGGATGTCTATAAACAAGCTTTTCTGCTTTCTTTCCTTGTTTTTTCAAACACTTTCTTAACTTGAAATCTCACTAATAGTTTTCTCTGTTTCTCAGCAAATTATTTTATTAAGTAAAAATGCATCTGAAATCTCTATCCGATTTAAGCAGAATCCATCTGTAAATGAAAAAATATTAGGATACCATTCATTCTAGGAGGTTTAATGTTGTTAATTAAATGGTGCAAGGGGAATATTTCTTAATAAGAACACTTAGTAGGGGAACTACTCGGGGTCGTGCAGAATAGCAGTAACGATGTGCAGAAGTTTGGGCCTTACACAGGATGGATTGTTGGAGTTCCAAATGGCCTTGCTAGTTCCTTCTGCCTGGAACTATGACTCAGCGTGATGCTGCATGGCTTGGAGCCAGCCCCAAAATCAGCACCTGCAAAAGGGCACTTTCCATGCTCAGTGCCTGTTTCTCCACATATTCAAGGGTACATTTAGGAATCAGGGAAATCAGCCTCATTTTTAGGATCACAGTACTTGGGGGGAAATGCAGTGAGACATGCTGTGTTCTTTTCTGGATGGGAATTGGTTGGAGTTCCCTGAAAACCAGTAGCAATAGGTTGCTGCTGTAGTTGTGTCTTGGAGCAGGAGAGGGGAAACCTTCCTTACTTTCCTCGTGGAGTCTTATTTGGGGAGGTAAAGTGGTTCTGGAAGAGAGCCAATGTTACCTTTCTGACTGTGTCCTGCTGCCAGAGTCACGAAGGAGTAAGGAGAGTTACAAACCAGAAGCTGCTTCAGAGAGGTACAGAAGAGTGAGCTGGCCTTACCAGCTTGAGAAGTAGAACAGAGAGTGAGAGTTTGAGTTTGGATGGGACTTCAAAGGGTCATTAAGCCCCAAACTCTTTCCACCCCAGAACAGATCAGATCAACCCAGATGCACATCATTCTGCTACTGAGATAAAAATTAGTTATTCTATGCGAAACAGTTGCTTATGTCACCCTCTAGTCAGTGATGGGTTTGCAGATGAGATTAACTATGGGGTTTTTCAGCTGTGGCCAGTCCCAGACTTTGAGCTGAAAATCCAAATTCACTCCAAATTTTGCTGTTGATGGTATTAGTTTATTCTGCTGTTTTCTCTGGTGGCAAAGCTAGGAAATAGATCTGCCCAGGCATGTTCAGATCATGCAGGCTGTCACAGGAAAGGCTCCTGATGCTTTATATTGGGTTTGTTTATTACAGAAGCTGTGTACCAACAGCTGGGGGTTTTAGATTTTCCTATTTGTGTAGAAAACTTTTTGTTTCTTCAGACCAGACGTATTACCTCAGGATATTTACTCTGCGTGTATAGAAATCTTAGGCTCACCTTAGAATATTCTCATTTCTCAGGGCTTGTTTTTTAAGTAAAAATCTACTAGTTTGAGAAAAAGCACACTCTGTAATATATTTTGCCTATAACACTTAAGGCCCAGCATGGTGAGCCAGGAAAAGGGCAAATACTGTCAATGCTGATAGACCATATCTATCCTTTTCCTTTTACACATTGCAACAATGTCTTTTTCCATTAAAATCAAACATGGACTGAGCAGCCACATGCTAGGATTCACCAAATGGTATTTAAAAAGATGTGTATTGTGACTCCAAGGCAAGTGGTACAAAAGCCCTCACACCACGCAGGCACTCAGCATGTTTGGAGAAAGTGAGGTGAATGTAGCCAGAGGCTCCAGTTTTCCACTCCACCCGTGGAGTGAGGCTGGGTGAGCTTGTAGTGGAATTAAATGTCTGCCTAGAAGTGTTTCTGACTCTTCGTTAGGTAGAAGTTTAGAAATTTTTCTGATGGTGGTCAGTGTCGTGGGATGTGCAGATAATGTGAATATCCACCCCTTCTTCTCTCTTGTATGTTTGATCTGGTTGTATAATCTGTTAGCATCAGCACGTGTTCAGTGGCCAGCTGTGGTGCCAGAGTTCATCATGAATGTGGAGATAATTAAAGAGTCTGGAAAACATTTTCAGGATAAACACTTTCCATTTTTATCTCTTGCTATTTGAGAAACAGAGACTCAAGTGCAGCCTTTAAGTCTTTTCTTGCTGTATCCTAATGTTTCAAAAGGACTTGTAATTTTGGATCTTGACTTGGAAACAATTTAAAGGCGGCTGATTTTCCGTGGCTGGGAGTGCTGTGCTTCCTGACTAATCAGGCTCTTTAGACATGTCTTAAATTGGGCACTGAAATACTGGATGGACAAGAGCAAGCAGTTGACTTAGGACAGCTCTGCGGGGATTTGGGCAAAGACTTTAACACAGAGCTCTGATACACTCTGAGTGTGCACACAGCAAGTTAACACTGCTGAGCAGACAAGAGGTAACTGATTAAGGCACAGTAAGTCAATCATGTGAAAGCATTACCCCATGCTCAACCAAGTGATGTGCTCCAAATGATTAGCCCCTCTGAAAATTGTAGGCCTGTTATATTTCAGCGTCAAGAGAGTCTCCTGCTGACACTGAGAATGGCTGACATAATAAAATCTTTCTTTCAAATAAAATAAAATTCATTTGGGCTTTCCATTCTTGATCCAAGTCCTGGAAGGACATTAAATGTAATCTATCCTCACATCTAAGTTGCTGATTCTACAGCTGCTCTGTAACCTAGACCACCTCTGTGGGGTAAAATAGGCAGAGAAAAGTGGGTGCAGGAGCTGTATTTTCATACCAAGGGAATGGGCATGTTTCTCATTAATTTCCTGTCTTGTTTGAGGTTTTCCTGGGGGTTTTTGTTGGGTTTTTTTTGTCTTCTGCAGGCAGATGACCATCTGTCCTGGCAGTGTAAGCACAGTCCTGGACTACCTAACACAGAGCTGTAGCCAAACTAAATCCCATCTAAATGCTGAATTCTCAAAGAGAAAAGAAACCTGATTAGTTTCCAAGTTTTAATTTCTTTCTTTTGGAAGTATTATTGCAGAGCTGAAAGGAAGAAGTTCTTTAGTCTATTGCTTAAATAATGCTTTGAAGTTTGGTCCTTTGCCAAATGCCTGTTGACAGTAACATCAGTGTTGGTGCTCACTGGCATCATGTATTTCTTGGGAATCTTTAAAAACTCTCTGAGCAGCTTACCACAACTTCATTAACATTTGATTTCTATCTAAATGAGGAAGAAATTATTCCTGTGTCTTTTTTGTGGTGGGTAAGGAGCAGTAGTTCAGTGATTTACCTGCCTTACAGGGACAAATCTCCAATCCTGGGAGAGATCCCAGGAGTCCGACAGAGCAGTCATCTCTTTCTTTTTGACAACCAGCTTGACATCACCTTATGTTGCCACCATTTCCATACCTTCTTATTGTTCATGTAGGATCTTTCTGGGAAAAATTAAATGATAGATAACCTCAGGGTTTCATTTCACAGCTCTTTTGTGTAGGTGGAAATCAACATCACTCTTTTTCCTATTTTATAGTTATTCCTTCTTTTTTTTTTCCTTCCAGTTTTAAATGAGGAGCTTTATCTGAGGTGTTGAGATTTCTTATAAAAATTCTCTCACTAGTAGCTATGACATAGTCTCTAACCTTTTCTCTTCCTTTTGTCCTCAGGAAACCCACTGACTGTGGCCTGCAAAGCTTTCTTTGGATTCAGTGGAGAATCAGGCCCCATGATCTACTGGATGAGAGGGGAGAAATTCATAGAAGAATTAGAAGGTCACATTAGAGAAGGCGAAGTCAGGTACTTTTTAGATTATTTACTGTTAAACTTATTGTATGCCCCAAAAGCCTGTTGGGTTTTCTTAACAGGTTTTTAATTGAAAGTAAAAATGTTTTTCTGTCCAAAGAGTGATTAATGACTTGGAGCCAGGGCTCTGTGATTTGCTCCCTCCCCTTTCTAAACTCTAAAGACATAGAAGATAAAGACATAGCTATCTAAGAGCCTGAAAATCTGTTATCAAATTCCCCTGGTGGGTGGTAGCTGAAGCGTCTCTTGAGTGTTCCAGGGGTTGATTTTAGCCCTGCATGGAAATGGTGCTGCCCAGTGCAGCTGTCCCATGTGGCAGTCCTTGGCAAGATGACATTCATTTCAGCATCAGTGTTAATCTTGAAGATTAATGGTATCCTGTCAAAGCCACCATACTTTTTCTCTTCTGCTGCATGTGCTGTCTGTCTGTGATGCAGCTCTCAGTGTGCCTTAACCAGGACTTTCAGAGAGCATTTGTTCCTCCAGGCTTAACACTTAAACGGAGTGAAAGGAGTGGCTGTGCCTGATATCCAACTTGTGCTTGGCTTGTTCCAGGTGCTGGTTATCATTTGCTGTACCAGTTTTAAAGAAAACACTTACTTGTATCCCCATGAACTTTCATGGAATTTTCACTCAACAGCATCATCTTCTCTTCTTTACTAATTACCTGATTACTGTTCTTTGAGCAAAGACTAAGCTATGGTTAAACTATGGACAAGGGGGTTCCAGCTCCAACAGACACAATGAATATAGATTATAAAGAAAACCTAGGTCTTTTCACCTTCCATTGCACATTTTTTTGATCTCATATCTGAGTTGTTTGTTTCTTGTAAAGGTAATTTGGGAGAGCAGGCAGAGAGAGGTTCCTTTGCTTTATTGCTTGATCAATAATTTGAAGTTCAGCCATTTAGCCACTGGTTATTAAGATATACTAAAATAACTGACCTAACATTGCACCTTAATTGCACAAAGATGAAATTTATTTTATATTGCCAGTGTACAGTCCTCTTTTGGGCTTCTGACCACAAAAAGCAATTATTGGAAACTTCTGCTATTGTAAGGAATCAGCACTTAATGACATTGTGTCCTCTCCGGCGTGGGTATATATATATATGAACAGAGTGATTTTGGTCATGTTCTTCCTCTGCATCAGAAGGACAATTTGAGTTTTGTATTCAAAGAGCATTCCAGCTTTAGTACAGTTCAAAACTTTTCCTTCATGTGCTTTTATTAGTGAAATTGAGTTTGAAAAAGCTGTTATTTATCCTTCATTGTGCCACCTCATTACACATTCATGTTTCAAATTAATATGTGACAACTCCCTCTTCTCATTCCATTAAAATGCTTTGACTCAGTTTGCAGACCCCTCACAATTCAGTGAATCTTCTCCTCAGCTAATCTACTTATCACATACCTAATCTCCTGTGATCACAGCCAGCATTAAAAAGAGCATTTACCAAAACCTACTGCATCATTACCAGCAGTGCCACAGTCCTTCCCTTTTTTGATTTAGAAGTAGCTGTGGCAACTGAAGTGGTAACTTTTTGCAAATGATTCTTTCACAGTAAGAGCTCTTGTTTATGTGTCCCATTACAGGTGTGCTCCTTCAGGGAAACTAAGCAGCACTAATCATTCTGACAGTGCTCTGAGCCAGCCCACACCTTCCACCCAGTCGTATTTATTGTTGTATTTAAAAAATTGTCAAGTATGTGTCAAATTTGATAAGCCATGCTGAACTTGCTGGTTAAATGCCTTTTCCATTAGTTTGCTTCTCTGTGGTGTTACCAGCACGTTTCTGTTTGTGTTGAGAAACTAAAAGTAGTTGGGAATTGTTACAACCAGATCAAGATACTCCAGCTTTCATTTGGAAAGCTTCTAACATTTTAACTCTGCATCCCCCATCTTAAATCAGTTCACAAACTTAGTAGCATTCTGAATTTTTGGTACTGTCCCTACCCTGGACCATGCCTGTCTGTTGTGTTTGCTGGATTTTCTGAGATGAGAGTTCAGGTTTGCAAATCAATGCAGTGTGGGAATACAAACCCCCCATCCCTAATATGCATCCTCCAGTGTGCATGGTTAGCAGCCACTGCTGTTGTGAAAGCACTGAAACAAGGGTGCACTTAACTTGAGCATTCCTGTTCAAATCAAACCCATGGAACTGGAGGGGTTTTTTTTGTAACCACACTTCACCATGAGTAATATTTTTGTAGTTCTGGACTTCTTGTTATTTATTAGAACTTGCTCTAAAGCCTCATAATAAAAAAGCAACTAACCAGCATTGCAGGACTCAGAGGCAGTGACCCTCTCCCTAAGCTGCTTCCTTGCCTTCCCTTGAATTAAGATCCCCAGGTGTTAGACATGGTTGAGGAGAAAGGAGAAAGAGGCTTTGCTTACCAGGTGGGTTTTTCACAGCGGTAATAAAAATGTCATGTAAATTGAACCAGGGCTATTAAAGAAGAAATCAGAGTCTTTAAGCCTGTCTTCAGAGTTGTCAGTTGTACCTAATTATGAAAGGAGCCCACAGCAAATTTCAACACCGTCTCTGTCATGGCAAAGTATTTTCAGACATAAATCTTACTCTCCCAGCCACCTATGAGTTGCTTCTTTTTCTTCTTCAGGCAACACTGCCAAACAGTTTGCAGTTGCCTCATAATGCATGTCTTATAAAGTATGTTTGTCCTTGTTTTTTCTGTCTTGTCCATTTTTAGAGTAGTTATAGTTTAACTCCTTCTAGTGGCATGAAAAGAGGTGAATGAAGACATTTTGAATGGCAGCTTTATTTCTCCAGATTAATTTATCACCCGCAGAAGTCAACTGATGGTTATGAAATGCTCAGACAAGATGAGGTTATGTTGTGTTTTGTTAGGAGGGGGTGATGAGGGCGGGAGACAGAATTCCCGCCACTGCCTGGCCAGTGTGCTGGGTACTTGGCAGAGAAGTATGGAAATGACAGCCCTCTCCTGAAAAGCTTATACTACTTAAGTAGACAATTTCTGGGCAAAGAATAAGAAACATGATGCAGGAAAGTGAGAGGGAAGATCACTGTGCCATGTTGCCAGTTGAACTGCTTTGCTTTGGAGAGGTACTTATGTACTCACAGATCTGTCCTTTCATCTACAGCCTATTGTTAAGGAGTAGAAGGAAGGCAGTAGAGTTCATAGCCCTGTTCACTGTCCAGATCCTCAGCTATATAAGGAATGAAAATATCCTTTCTGCTAAGTCCCTGCAGATGCAGTCCCTGCATCTCACATGCAGGTTAGTAAAGGTTTGAAGTAATGCCTTGGTCTTGCAAAGAGACCCAGGTGAGGCTTTCTTAGGGCCTTTACATCTTTGATCATACACAGCCTAAAAATTTTAGGTAAATATGGTCTCAAAGGAAAAGCATTTTAACTTCAGATTCAACTTAGTGCACACATGCATTGGAAAAAATATGACAAAAGATTTGAAAAATCCAAACTGTTGGATAATTTTCAAAGAAAACATTTGTATTCTGAAATGGCACTTCCTTTTTTTTAAAATTCATATTCTTAACTGAAAAATATTCACTAGACAAAATGTTTTGATTCAGCTCAAATAAAATGCTTCAGCTTGAAGAAAAAGAAGGCACTGTATTGTTTTTACTTCACCCACCTTTTCTTTCTCTCTTTCTATCCTGTTTGTTGTGAGTTGCCAAGTGCCATTGATTTAGCAATGTATTAAATGATGTAATTACTCTTAGTTTGTTCAGCAAACCAGAAAAAGCAAGCTATTATTTTCTCACCTTGTGAGAGCTGGCATGTGTTGACAGTGTCACTGGTGAAGTTTCTCCCATTACAGACAGGGACAGAGCTTCATCTTCGGGGTGTGCAGAAAATGCTTTTGGACCTGTAAGATCTTTACTTGTTACTCTGTTCCTTTTCTAACCCGAAAATATTGTGCTCAGTGTTCTCTGAACCAACCACAAAATGCAATTAATTAAAGGCTGTACACATATTGAAAAAATGTAGGTGACCGACTGTGTATTTCCAGGCAATAATGAATCATTAGCTGTAGAATACTGGTTAAAGGAAAAGAGAAAAAACCAAAAAAGCAGGAATGAAAGGTTCAACGCCACCAAGATCATTCTGTGCTTTGCTGCCAGCGTAATGCTTAAATGTTTGTCAGCATTTTCATGATAGATCCTGTTCTAAAGAGTTCCCTTACTAGAGATTGCAATTAGAAGTAAGATAAGTGGAAAAAATTCTCAGTTCAAATGCATATTCTTTGTTTTATGAAAGCTCCTTTTCAGTTGATCATGTGTTATTTAAATTTAGGTTAAGGGTCAGTTACTTTAAATAAATATGGATTGGATATAGTTCAAAATAATAGTTTCTTTTATTTTAATTGTAATCAGTCTTCATTTTTTTCTGTGTAAAATATCCTGATTATAGGATAACTACAAGACAATCGGAACACTGACAAAGTGCTCCAGATTAGTGTCCCAGATATCATCTCTGTTAAGGATTATATAGTTCCTTGCGGCAGGATTTGTAGGCCAAAATTTGTCAGGCATATTGTTTACCAGCAGAGGAGAAAGACTTTCCTGAGTCTTTATATAGATAGCAGATTAATAGCTAGATGAGAATTGATTTATCTGACTCCCAATTATTTAGGCTGAGTCTGCAAACAGACCAGGCTTTCCAAGGAGGTTTCTTTTCTGACCAGAAATGATGCAAATTCAACTTTTCTTCCATAATTTCACCACTTGGACTCTGGTCTAGAATTAAAAAAATTTTAAAAAAACCCAAAACAAAACGAAAAAAAAGAACACCAAAAAACCATAATAAATGAGAGTTAATTTGCAAAAAAAGATTAAATCTAAGTTTCCAAATGCAACACACACACACTCCCGTTTTTAAACTAATGATTTTCCCCTTGCTTTTTTGCAAGTTACACAGCCACAGTGAAAGAGGCTGAATCGTTGTGGATGCTCTGGTACATCTTCTGAGTTCTGTCAGATCCCACATGCCTTTAGAGGCTGTGTGCTGTATGAAATCTTACTGTAAAGATATGGTTTATTCTAGTTTTCATTGTCTAGTGCAATTCTCTCATACTTCTCTTCTGATTTGTTTTCAAATTTGGAGTGTTATGTGAACTCACATACATAAGAAAATGCGTGTGCGCATCGGAAACTCCAAAACTCTCTATTATGGTTTATAATAGAGAAGTTTGGGGGTTGCTCTTTGTTGACAAATGTTAAGGTCTCCAGCTGCAGTTTCTGTCCAGAGCAGGCAGCACTCCCATTAGTTACTTCCTGCCCAGTTGCCTCCCTTTGGTCTCTGGAGAAAATATTTCATGTTTGGGGAACCTGGATTTTATTTATGCCTTTACCTCACAGTGCTGTAAACAGCCTTTTCAGAGAAAAGACTCACTGAAGTGCAACATGCAGTGGTGAGTTCACAGGTGTCTGCCAGGGCACCCCACATTTTGTGTTTACCCCCTTCACATTAAGCAGCAGTACACAAACAGGATCAAATGAACCTTGTAGATTTTACTTGACGTTACATTTCCTTTATCAAAGGAGCAGCAACTTTTCCTTGAACAAGTGATAAGCCTTCTGAGAGAATAGGGTATTGTGTTTTTAGACTTAATGTCAGCAGCAGAAAACACTTGCATTTACTTTGCATTCTTTTTAATGTTCACACGAGAACAATGACATGAAAAGACTGTACCTCTGGCCTGAAAGTCTGCTACAACTTTCTATTCCCTTTGTGGGGATTTTGCATGTCTCCTCTGTCCTCTCAAAGGAGCAGAGAGCTCTTGTTCTTGACACTGTTCCCTTTTAAAGTCAGGATCTAGCCCCAGAAAATAGAGGAAAGTTACAGACAGTAGCACAGCTCCTTTTGTTAGGTTTCCAGACTGCATTAAAATGTATTACAATACCCAGCCTTTAAAATACTGCCTTATAATTTGTTCGGTGATGGCTTCGTAGCACATATTTGCTTCTGGAAAATGGATATTTACTGCTTCTTTTAAAAGAAGCATTGTTTTTAGCATTTAATTCTGATGGAGCCAATGTAAACAAGCCACATGCAACCATTGCACTCATGGCCACTTCCTTTACTTGGTTTAGCTCCTCACTAGACATGGAAGGAGAAAGAGGCTTTTGGTGATCATGAAAGATGCCTCTGAGAAGTCTTTCAGGCAGCATGAGTCTCCTTCTAAATCCTTCTCCCGGAGTGAAGGAGGCCAAGGAACACTGTCTATCTTGTGCTGAGAAATCATGGTTCTTTTGGGAGTCTTCCACCCATATTAATTCAGCTAAAGCAAAGCCTGTATCCTTCCTTTCAGACTCCTCAGAGAACACCTTGGAGAAAAAGAAGTTGAGTTGACATTGATCTTTGATGCTGTAGGGGAGGCAGACCTGGCTAACTACACGTGTCACGTGGAAAACAGAAATGGACGGAAACACGCCAGTGTCCTTCTGCGCAAGAAAGGTAATTCTCTCCATTTCATTATCTGTGCTCTCGCCCTCACAGCAGCAACAGGTCAGCCAGAGGTCCTGCTGACCTCTCTGAGCGAGGCTGGACTCCTGTGTGCCTGCTTGGAGCTGAAGTAGGCTTGTGTACAGCTTCAGTTTACCACTCGTGAAAAAAAAAAATAAATCATTAATTGTTCTTTAGCGTCTATTCAGCCTTGAAGGTGATGCACTTGCTTGGAATACAGTCACTCATAAAGCACCAATATATGATCAGTGGTGGAAGTATTTTGGTCTAAACAACCTATGAATTTGACCCAGAGTTGACTGACTAGGCCAGCAGTAATTGTGTGATAGAGTTAAAATGTGGATTTCTTAGAACAGCTACCTTGGCAGTGAGGTCAGATGTTCTTGTATTTCTCCACTTCCTGGCTTTATGTTTTAAATTGAAAACTTTAAACTGTCACCATGCATTTAGATTTGTAACTGCATTGAGAATGAAAAACATTGCAATGGGAGCTACAAATTGATGGAGAATTACCCCATCGTGCTTGTCTTGCTTGATACTGCTCCTGAATTGGGAATACCACTACAGACAAGATATCTGTAGCAGAAAGGAAACCATTTGGATTTGAATGTGCCAAATTAAAAGGTGCTACTATGCGCTGCTGTTTGTAGAAGTCATTATCGTAAAGAGTTTAACAGTTCCTCATTACAGTTCTTATGTTGTTTGTTCAATCACCTCTCCTATTCATAAGTAGGGTGGCATTTAAATTTGATGGTGATCTCTCTAAGATACAGTATATCAGGCAATACAAAAGCTATAAGAAAAGCAAAGGAAGGTTGCACACTCAGGAGAAAGCTGTTATGTGAAACTACAGAGCCATCAGCACGGGAGATTGACTAAAGAGTTAATACATTGTCCAGATTTCTGCCATCATTCCTGACTGTAAATTATTTTGCCAAAAGCAGAGAAGAAGAATTGTTTTCGTGAGGCAAACCTGAAGGTGCAGTTCCAGTCCTTTGAGTGTTTTCACTATGGCAAATGAACTAAGAGTCAGGTGGAAGAATAAGAAGAGCAGCCAAGGCCTCTCTAGATGGGGCATCACAGTTCTGGAAAACATCCCTAGTCATCAGTTCCCCCTGAAGGCATGCTGGATGCTAAGCACTGTGTTTGATGGCTATAATCTGTATCAAATGAAAGGTGAGGGAGGTGTGGTATTGAGACAAAAAAGGGCTACAAGGGAGAGGAAACTTTTGGGTCAATGTCCTCTTTTTTTGCTATTCTTTCATGTGACCCACAGGTTTTATGTGTGGAAGTAGAGTATGCAGTCCTGTCAGAGTCAGCTGAATCAAATTCTACTTACTCTATTCCCTCTACACATAAGAGCTTTACATCCTCCTAGAAAGAAGGGCATAACATAGGTTATATTTTACACTAAGTAATAGGAAAAATAAGAAAAAAAACCCCAGAAGTTGTAAACCACTCTGAGAAACAAGGTTCCACAGTTGTGGTGTGGAGCACACACAAATGTATATTCAGCATGGGTGAGGGAAAAGCTGTGAATGATGCCTACCTGAACTTTAGTAAAGCCTTTGAGACTGTTTTGCACAGCATTCTCCTGGAGAAACTGGCTGCTCACAGCTTGGATGGGTGCATCGTCAGCTGGGTAAAGAAACTGGCTGGATGGCCAGGCCCAGAGAGGGGTGGTGTGTGGAGTTAAATCCAGTTGGCAGCCAGTCACAGGTGATGTTCCCCAGGGATCAGTACTGAGGCCAGTCCTATTTAATATCTTTATGAATGATCTGGACAAGGGAATCAAGTGCACCCTCCCTCAGTTTGCAGACGACACCAAGTTGGGCAGGAATGTTGATCCAGCAGATCATTCTACTCTCTACTACACACATACATACACACAGGAGGGTAGGAAGGCTCTGCAGAGGGATCTGGACTGGCTGGATCAATGGGATGAGGGCAGTTATATGAGGTTCAACAAGGCAAAGTGCCAGGTCCTGCCCTTGGGTCACAACAACCCCCTGCAGCACTGCAGGCTGGGGCAGAGTAACTGGAAAGCTGCCTGGGGAAAAAGGACTTGGGAGTGCTGGAGTCACCATCCCTGAAGGGATTTGAAAGTCATGTAGATGTGGCATTTGGGGACATGGTTTAGTGGTGGGCTTGGCAGTGCTGGGTTAACAGCTGGGCTCAATCATCTTAGAGGTCTTTTCCAACCAAAATGATTCTATGATTCTGTGATCTAAAGTGACAGGTTGTCACAACTTTAATGAAGGAGTCTGGTCATCATGATGAAGGATTAGCCTCTTTAGTACAGAAAGCATTCTACCTTTCCTTCTACTGAACCTCATAAATATACAACTGATAGTGTATCTATGTTGGCACTGCTAAATGTTCTTCTGTGTGCATATATTAGAATAACAAGCTAGGTTTATTTATAACAAAAAAATGCAGATATTTCAGAGCTCTGCTGAAATTATGGAAGAAGCACTGCTGAATACAGAATTTGGAGGTGGAAAGGATCACTTTGCAGCTACTATTTCATTTCTCTCTGCACTGTGGCTGTAAAAAACTTATATTCCCCTCAAGCATTCTCAATAGTTGATTTTCAAGCTATTAAAGTGTCATTTAAAATAACCACTGTGTTTTACTGTATCCTTTGACTGCCTGTCCCATTGTCCTGTTTGTTATTTATTAAGTTCTTACAAATACTTGACCAAACTTTTCCTTTCTGCAACTTGATTTAATTACTTCTTATCCTAGCTTTCTCCAACTTGGATTTGACTGTATTCATGAGCCAGGAAATACTACTGTACTTACTGACCTCATACAAGATTTAGAGCAGGACTGGTAGAAAGTTGTTGACCAACACCCCTTCTGTATGTCAAAGAAAGGACCATGGATTTCTATTGCAATGGGCTGCAGCTTTCCAGGTGCTGAGGCAAAGCAGCAGCACAGATCTCTCAGCCAGAGAAATCCCCCTCCCTCCAAAGTCTTACCTGTTAAGAGCTGCATTATCTGTGTTTGACAAGAGGCATTTTTACCTCTGTTTTGTCTCCAGGCTGACACAGTGCTGTGGTTTAAACCTGCCCTCTCCTCAAAGGTGTGATTGCAGCATGTCAGGTCTACAAAAGGTGGCATTAGTCATGAGTCCTGCTAAACTAGGAAGGCTTGTGTAAAAAAACAGGAATAAACCCCAAATCCAAGCTGTAGATTAGTATAGGAGTTTCTATAGTTCTTATTTTGTCATCAGATGGTTATTTTTAACACATATTTTGCTTTGAAAAAGTAACATTAACCATTCAGGTATTTAAGGTAAAATATATTGAAGTCTTTTGCTGTAGTAGTGGTGTGGTCCTCATGAATCCTCAGGAGAATACAGGAGTGCTGTCTGCACAGCACCAGTGTACCAATAGCCCCAGAGCACGTGTCATCATTTATGATTATTTTCATTGGGCTTTTTTGGCTGAGAAAGAACCAAATCCAGTTATAAACACCCAAAGTTACCAATGCAAAGACAGAATCAGTCATGCTGAGACCTGAATACCACTGCTGTCACATTCTTCTTTACTGTCTTAATTCAAGACTGCATTGTTACTTCTTTCTAGTAGTTCAGAAATAAATTCTGGGCAATCCTGGGTTTGGTTAGCTTTTATTTTTTTTTTTTTTTCTGTATGCTGTCCTAGCATATTTGATGCTCAAATTACATGGAAATGCAATATACACCCACTTGTCCCTTAGTTGTGGGAATGGTTCAGGATTCCCTTCAAAAGAATTTGAAAACAGTCCAGTATTTTAGTGGTTGATGTCTACATAGTCTATAATATAACTGTACTGGAAGATGAAAAGTTTGTCAGGAACTGCAGAATAAAATCAAGCCAGGCTATTAGTGGAAAGAAGCAGTGAACTGAGATAAAAGTAAATATTATGACTTTTGTTCACGATTTACTTCATGGAGGCTGCCTTTAATCAAGACATGCAGGGAACTAATTTTGGGACTTTTTTGCTACTGATGTAATACTAAATTATGAAGAAACTTCTAAAATATATTTGTCTCTCATTTATTGGGTGTTTAGGAGACTTTTGCTATTTTAAAGACCATAATCCTCTATAATATGTTGTGAGAAGGTCCTTCTACATTATTTTACAGAATATTATTTGCTATTTTTCAGTCACTATTATAGCAGAAAGGCCAGATTCACCTCCTTTCCTAATTGGAAATGCTGCCTTATTATTGACCTCAGTGAGGACCACTTGAGGAGGAAAGAATTAATCAGAGGCTGAGTCTAAGCTACAGTAGGAAAGAAAACTGAACAGTCTGGGTTTTTCTCTTTGTCTCCACCTTGGAATGGAATGAAGAAGCTCAAAAGCCTGGTTTTCTTCCTCCTTATGTGTGGACTCAGAAGAGTTTATGATGCAGAAGGACAACTACAGGACATGTGAAAGCAGATCAGTTTTGCCTTTTGAGCTGGATTTTGTGGTTTTGCTTAATATCCTGCCATTCCCCCCAAAAGTGGAGACAAGTCGGAGCTCCTATGTCGGCTGCAAGGCTCAGCATTTCCTCTCCTTCCAAGCTGGCAGCTTTGCCATCATCTCAGTTTCCTAGCAAAGAAGATTCAGTGCAACAAAAAAATATTTTTTCCCCAAACAGTGACTTTAACCAACTCTGTTCTCCATTTGCCCAGATTTATCCCCAGAGCATATGCTAAGCTTTATCATGCAGTGTAATAAAAGTCCCATGAATTCCCTGTGTTCTCACAGAGATTAAATAGCTATTATAATAGACTTTTTCCATCTATTAGTCCATGACTTCTTGCCAGCCAGACATCAGAGATACTGTAAACTGGGAATAGCTTGACATCTGATGTTAATTATTGAAATACGAGGCTTGGCGAGGCAAGAATAACCCCAAAAGATACACAACTAATTTGCTTTTTATCTTGAAAATGACACAAATGACATACGAGTAATTTTTTCTGACCTAAGTTTTAGAAGCGTAAAGATCACAAGAACTTTGTCTCGCCTGTATTAGTTTTGCAACTTCTCGTTGTATTTATCACAGCAGCAAATAGCTTCATGACGTCTTATCTGAACTAATATAGAATGCTACAGTCAAATTGTCATCCTCTGTCTTTTATGGCTAAATAATATGCCAGGCAGTGTTAGGAGCAATATTACATTCAGAGGACATTTCAGGCTAAAAAGCAATGCTGTTCAAGTTAATGTCTTACATCAAATGGAGCTCTGGACTGGTAATCATGGGGTTTTATCCCATTCTGTCATTGGTTTGCTGAGTGACCTTGAACATGTTGCTTCTCTTTTCTATGCCTCTGTTTCCCTAGCTGTAAAAGTTGGATCACTGTGTTTGGATGAATTTGTGAATCACTGCTTGTGATGTTTCCTAATAAAAGCATCCCAGTAGGAAATTTTAACTAGCACTAGTTCCCATTAAAGTATAATGTATACTCTACAAGCATGTGAGAACTTTGTTAGTAGCCATCACAATTCAAATGAAGTGGCTCTTGGCAGCCTGATGTGTGCTCCTGGCTTCTCATGTTATCTTGGGCTTTCTGGATGCTCCATTCATTTTCCAGTGATCCAGCTGAAGCCCTGACTTGGCAGCTCACATCACCTTGTCCACAGGCTTCACAAATATAAACCCAAAGTTGTTTAATTTGGGCATGGGGGAATGGGGGACTAGAGCCAGTGAGGTACAATATGTCTGGTTCTATACTCCATATATATAGAATATGTCTATTCTCACATGCTGCATACAGCATTTGGTGCACTCGGCCAGTGCAGAAGGTTCAGACTCCACAAGCTCATTTTGATTAATCCTCTGTGTAAAAGCACTACATAATTCCCATATAGAAGAATTACATATATAGCCTCAAATGCATTCTGGATTTCAGATGGTGATTTCAGATGAGTGGTAGATGGAGTAAATAAGTAAAGTTAAGTAATAGGTAATGAACAAAAATATTAGGCATTCCTAATGTTACAGTGGTTATAACTGGGAGCTGCAGAATTTTATGTGGAATTGTATGCTGGATTAGAGCAAATAAAGCTTGGAAAGATCCTAACCTTGTTGTCTTTCCTTGCTAATTTTAGATTTGATCTACAAAATAGAGCTTGCTGGAGGACTGGGAGCCATCCTTCTTCTGCTTATTTTGCTCGTGACCATCTATAAGTGCTACAACATAGAGTTAATGCTGTTCTACAGACAGAACTTTGGAGGAGATGAAGCAGCTGATGGTAAGCAGTTGCACAGGAAACTCGATATATGCAATGGAAATATTTCAGAGACCCAAAGTGGTGAAGCTTCTAAATTGAAATGAATCCCAAAAGATACCTGCTTTTAGTTCAAGTTCAAACTACTAAGCATCCAAAAGTGTAAAGCCCTAAGACTTTCTCCCAAAGCCCCCTGAAATCAATTAGTCTTTTCACAGAAGTATCACTGGGTGTGCCATAAGCAAATGGGAGTCTGAAGAATTGTTCAGCATCATTTGTGAACTCATTCCTTGGGGAAAGTCTGTACATTCATGTCTCCGGTGCCACATATGCCCAGGATCACTTCTCCTGAGGTCTGTACTGTATGTGGGCAGCTCTTTCACCAGGTATTCCTCGTTAAACATTTTCATTGAATTCCCATCAGGCTGCCGATGACCTCCTCTGACTAGTGAGAGGTGATTGTTATCAAGGCTAACTAGTTACCTCAGTTAATTGGGAGGCTGTAAACAACTTAGTGGAAATGTAAAACTTCCCTGGGCAGTATGTTGGGGAATAAACTAGGCTGTTTTCCATTTTTATTTCCTCACTTTCCCTCTCACTAGCTTATATTCTGTTTGGTGCCTAAAGCTAAAGTTGTATTTTTAAATGGCAGCTTTAATTCTGTGAATTAATTTAATTCTCTTAATTCTATTCTGAATATAGAACATTCCTGCTCCTATGAAGCTGGAGTAAGCCCTGTAAACTAAATCCAAATATTTCTAATTAAATCCTATTATTATGTTCTTAACACATATCATAATTAATATGTTATTAATATGCATCTAAGTAGTATCTGCTAAAGATCTGAAGTACAATGTTGAATACAGGTACTTGCCATAGTCCACTGCAACACTTAATGAGCCACAGAAGCATTCTGGAATGCTACATCTAGAAACTATAATGTGTTTGAAAAAAGAGCAGGGAACACATTACCCGTACTGCCAAAACAATGTGTAGTTGCATAGACATGTTCCTTTCTGCAGTTAGTGTTGCTGTTATCACAGTAATAAATGTTTCACACTGGGTAGATACGGTGTGAAAATGTTCCACTACAATGAAATCCGTGGGCGTTTTGGAGAATGGATGGAATGACATCTAGGGGATTTTAGAATAAGGAACAATAAATAGCAGGACTAGAGGTCAGGAAACTGGCTCTTTTGCAATCTTCATATGTGACTGGCAAAACATGAAATTATGGGTTTTTTTCATGCTATATGATACTGCACAATATTTATGCTGGTACCTAGGAGAAAGTGAAGGGTGGGATTATTTGGGAAGTACTTTACCTTTAACACTTCAGGATTACAGCAACATGACCTCCCTGGCTCACCCCAGCAAAAAGCGGTAACTCCCTTCAGCCTGCTTTGATTAATTTATCTTGTGTTTTCAGTGTGAAGCTGCTGCATTTTTATTCATGTAACTTTTTTGATTCGATCACTTTTTAATTTATGAAACAGTATTGTTTTCTGGCTGTTTAGAGGAAGCCCCCTGAGTACATAGGGTATTTTGTGTGCATGTTAATTCTGAAAACAACCTTTTATTTTTCCAGTGCATGACTGTAGACCTACTGCAGCTTTGTGTCACATTCTGATCCTGCAGAACAAAAGATGGAGGCAGAATGTTACTGAACTCAAAGCATGTATGGGGATGTTTCTACTAATGCAGGCTATAGTGGGATTGTACAGAGCTCCTATGAGCAGTCAGCTGTATTGATGCAATTGCAGGGTCATTTTCCATTTATACATGTATTTTTTTAAAAAAGAAGATTTGGGAACTCAACAGATTTGCTTTATTCCTATTTCTAAAAATACTGTATGTAAGCAATGCTGAATGCATTCACTTCCTGTATTGTGTGTAGCATTGCTTTTAGAGAAAATGACACGGAGGATTAAAGGACCCATTTAGAAATTGGCTCCAAACAGTGCTGCTTCCAGAGCACTCAGAGCAAGTGGTAGGCAAGTGTGGACAGGTCCTTCTGCTCTGTCCTGTGTGTGTGAAGCTTATGAAGAGGGAATTGAGACCATGGAGATGTAACACAAGTGTACAAGTCTCAGGAGCCCGGGGGTACTGGTTCTGTCTGCATCTTGCTCACTTGTGTTGTGAGCAGAGGTGACTGGAGAGGGCAGCTGTGCCCCCGCAGCTGGAAGGGGTTGGAAGCTCTGGGACCGCCGGCACGTGGATGTGCGGCTTTCACGCTGCTCCACGGCCACTCAGGGCTCTGCTGCCTCTGCAGAGCTCGCAGACGTTTTCAGGGATGTTGCCTCTAGGATCACTTGGTGCCTGGCATCTCTTAAAAGGTTTTGGCAGGCTTCATTATGGACAGGGGAGCAGGTTTTGGACAGGCCTCCAAAGCTGACTGGCCTGTTGATTTCAGAGGAGTATCAGCAAGCCAGGTGGACATCTTCCATCCTTCCCTACAGCTATGGTGACACTAGGCAAATTGCCTTTTACAAATATATAATTATTCACATGCTTTGACTGCAGCTCTGACCCTCATTGGTGTGGCTTTTTGTCAGAAATTATAAGTAACCATCATTTCAAGGTCATCAAGGAATATACTGTATTACGATTAGGGGTTTTTTTTCTTTTTGTCAGAATATATTGATAATTTTTAACTGCTGTAATTATCTTTCATATGCACTATTCTTTACAGATAATTGGTACTCAGAAACCCTCCATTCATGCAGTTTTGTTCTCACAACTATTTGATTTTTCATTTTCTGTAAATAATGGCAGCTGTGCTCTTCCCTGGAGACTGAATTGCTGAAGGTTGACTTTTCCAATACACTGTTTTCCATTACTGCAGAGGAATAGGAAAGAGAAATGTCACTAAGACAGTCTGATGCCAGCGTGGATCCTGAGCTCAGTAGTGGATCACTTCTGTTCCTGGCATGGTCACCAGCTCTTAGCTCCATGTTTCAGAAGCAGAGCTGGAGACAAGCCCCAGTGCTGTGCAGGAGGAAGAGGAGGAGGTGTATTGCCCCTTCTATCCACCTTTGGATGAGGTTTTGCCTCCACTCCTGAGCTGCAGGCCAAATGGAGGGGCAAGTCTCCCCCTGAGCCCCATTGCTCTGGAAATTATTTCTCTCTCTCAAACTGTAAGCCCCAAATATTTCAAGTGTCCTGGGTCAAGTGACCTCTAAAATTATTATATTGATTTTTAAAACTACAGGGTTTTCTGAAAAAAATGCTTTAAACTGTATCTGGCATTGTTTTTTTGCATAGTCAGTATTCATTGGGTTAAGTCATGTCTGTTCTCACAACTACTTGTGAGAGGAAGTTTTCCTTGCTCAAAACTTTCCAGGCACAAAAACTTTTCCAAGTTCAAAACTTTCACATAATCCTAGCATTCCTGAGGCATAGGAATTGAAAGATTTCCATTAGCAATATGTAAAGGATTAAAACTAAAACTTTCGGCTTTAGTATTTTGTATCAAAATCTTGCCCATGACCTTGTCAGCTGTGACATGGGTCCGAGCACATGGAGCAGAGTTACTGCTCCACATGGAGAAGAAAACTGAGAGGATATCCTTTGTCTGGATCCATAAAATTTCTCTCTGGAAGCCAGATTACATGTTCCTGTGAAAAGACTCAGTTTTGTTGGGAAATGCCTGGTCATTTCGAGGAATAATACAATTTCCTAGTACTTCCCTGTATTCTTTCTAGTGCTCTTGCAAACAGCCAGCTGAACATGAATTTGTTTTCTTACAGACAACAAGGAATATGATGCATATCTTTCATACACCAAAGTGGATCCCGATGCTTTAGATCGTGACACTAATGAAGAGGAGCAGTTTGCACTTGAAATTCTGCCAGATGTTCTGGAAAAGCACTATGGATACAAGCTTTTCATTCCAGATAGGGACCTGATCCCTAGTGGAAGTAAGTATTTCTGACCTTTCTGTTTTGTTTCTCTCTGATGTGTCACAAAGGCCTGGACTGTGTGACAGTTACTAGAGGAAAACCCTCTCTTTGGGAAGTGTTGCAGGGATTGGAAAAGTTTCCTCAGCACTGCAAATTCGAGCTCTGTGTTAGAGCTTGTTCCTGCATTGCTGAATTCAATGGAACTGCCATTGATTTCAGTGGTGGAGGAAGGAGCTGGACCTTCCTACAGGGAAGGCTACAGCTCTTCAAGCAATACGGAGTCCAAAATGTCTGCATCAGACACAGGTAACTAAGCAGGAAACTTCCTAAAAAGATTTTGTAGTCTCTGGTATATAATTGAAAATGGGATTTATTTTTTTTTTCAGTGGTTATTTGTTTGTCTACAGCAGCTTTACAAGTAAAAGTCATCTTTTCCATTATCTTTCTGTGTTTTTCCCTAACTTAGAAGTCTCATAAAGAGCTACAATAGTTTCCCAGTTAATGGTAAGGGTACAATTGGAGTTTTGACTGAGTGTTGAATTTCTGAGCAGTGTGAGCATTGTGTAAGTCATTGATATTGTGTAAGTAGTATTAATTATTCAGAGGACTTTTTACAGCCCATGAGCCAATTCTATTTTCAATGCTGACAATGAAATACAGTTGTGCATTTCAAATCAGTTTTGCTGCCATGTCTGAAGATGCAGCACCACCTTTGGAGGTCTGTACCAACAGTTAATGCTTTCCTAGTGCTAGTTATGGCATTTTTTCTACCAGGTTCATTTTTGAGCAAATCAAAAAGACCACAAATCATATGCATGATGTTGATGAATTTTGAGTGCAGAGTATGTTTACTGCAATACCACATTTATTTGAAATGCTACCCTTGTGGAAAAAAATCAGTATTTTTTACTACAAATTCCATTTCCAAATCACTTCCATAAAAAAAATAGTAAAAGAGAAAATGAACTTCTCTCTGTATGTGCTACTGTATAGGAAATATGAACAAGAGAACAAAGCAATGGCTGTACTGGAGCAGATGTCCCCAAACATGAAACAGCTCGAACATAGCTGCGTTAGCAACCTGCCTGCCAAAAACCTGAAACTGCCGCCTGGCTGCTGCCAAACCCCAGTGCCTGCCCCAGAAGTTAGAGCCTGTTTCTTCTTTGACATTTGAGAGAGCTGGAAGCAGAGCTCTGAATCCTGTACCACTGGGAAAGAGGAGTCAGAGCCCAGCCAGAGATCATGCAAAGTCCTGCGTGGTGGCTTGAATCGATCATGTGTGTTTGCAGCTCCTAGTTTAGAGCTGATTCCCTTTTTCTTTCTGCCCCTGCAAGGTGTGAGTTTTTCTTCCTTAGTAAGAAATTCCAGAAGGGGGACTTGGCTCATAGCCTTCTTATTTCTGACAGTACAAGCAAGTAATACCAAATTTTTAGATATTATTAAGAGAAAATACACCTTTTTCACAGAATTGTTGTAACTAGTTGTTTGATATCCAGCAATATCGCAGAGTTATACATAGCAATTATGCAAGTGAATTAAAGAATTTAAAGTTAACCCTTCAGTGATAACTATACTGAAGCACAAATTAATCCAAAATGAGATTCTCTTTCCCAATTGTTGTACCAGCCAACATGGTATTTTATTTTTGTCTATTTTTGTCAGTCAGGCACTCAGCAAATACTTGTCATCACTTTGGGTATTCATTAAACCTCTCTTGAAAATGTAGGGTACCTGAAAATGTCAGTTCTCATTTATGAACATTCACAGATTTAATGCCTCTTTTTTCCTCTCAAACTCACTTCTTCAGTATTATGAAAAGGCCTGATTCTAACACATGGAGCTTCAAGAACGCTTAATCAGACATAATGACAATGCAGAATAAAATGTGCCACTGAAATGAGTGTGATTTGCATGCTTTAGCTTTGAAAAAGATATGAGAGAAGGCACTTTATTTTAAGTGGGGCTAGAGGGAGGGAGAGGGGATGGGGAAGGAAGGAAGACTCGGCCTCCTGTATTTGTAAGCTCTCCGCATGCGCTGGAGAAGTGGAATGTGGCTGTGTCCTGCCTAGTGCTCACCAGTCTCTCAAGGACTTGCAGTGCTTTTTGAAGGCAGTGTGATGTAGAATGGGCCTACTAGAAACTTCAGAAGTAAACATAACATATTTTAGAGTGACTGTCTCAAAAATTGGCAGATATGACAAAATATATAGCTCTCCAGGGTAGATTTCTATAGAAAAATGGGGGGTTGATCACAGTTATTTTTTTTATTTAGGAAATATCTCTTCTCACATGTGCTGCATTTCCTCATCTTTCAGTGTAAATTACTTTCAATCAATGTAATACTTTCTTACTTTGTTCTGATGTGTTTCCTTTTATATCCCGTGTGCCTCAGTGTGTGCCACTCCGCTAGTGCAGCATATGAGCTGTGTTCTGTAGGACTGTTCCTTCAGTCTCTGCAGTTGTGAGGTGCTGCCACAGGAGGGTGTGAACCATTGCGCTTCCTTCCTGGCATGCAGCAGTACTGACAGCTGCTCCTTGGATTTGAGAGCGAGCAAAAAATAGATTTGTTAAATAGTATTTCATTAATTTTCTTGCACAGTTCTCTGAACAACCTAAAAAGCTGACTCCGGAAAAATTCAGGGACAACTTTGATGATGTTTTTGTCCAGCTGGCTCATCGCTAACCTCTGGGGAAAAGCTGTGATGGGCTCTGCATGTCCCTGTGCAGCCAAGGGGGAGATTACAGCCAGATGTGCTTTAGCTGGTATGCACCCAGCAGCCAGCTCCTTCACAGTGCATGTCTGAGCTCTGCATGTCACCTCTGTGCTGAGAACCCTCTGTTTCAGGGATGCCCATGGAGCGACTGCTGCTGTCCCTGGGAGGACAGAGGTGATGGCTGTAGGGACTGAGGCCACCTCTTCACCATTGGGAAGCAGATCCCTGGCATCCAGGGTTCAGGTCAAATGAGGCTGTCATGTTTTGCAGTAGGTGTTGGTTTCTGAGCCCTGCTGGGATACAAATCTTATCCCAGTGGAGCGTTTTGTCCTGTGGGAGGGAGAACACCATGAAGGATGCCAAGGGCCTCAGTGGTGCCCATCACACTGTGGCCAGCAAGGACCTTTGAGGTGAATCTTGGTGCTGCCTGAGAGCAGCATGGATGGACCCGGCTCCCTAGACTGGTGAGGTGGAAAAGGGGCTAAAGCAGCCACCGCTCCTCTGCTCTGGCTCCTGCAGAATCCCACACAGCCACCCTGGCTGGGAGGTGAAAGGGGTGACCCAGCAGGGAGATGTGACATGCAGCGTGCTGTGTAAGCAGTGAGACCGAGTTTGTAACCCAGGAATTGAGTTGCATATTCTGGGAAGTACTATAGCAGCTATTTGTTCACAAAGAATATTCTTTGGTCTTATGAGAGTGAGTGTTCTGCATTCTGTCGAAGCTGACAGCACATACACCTTTCTGCCTGGGCAACTTAGGCATAATTGGATATGTTAACCTGTGTAAGGAGACTGTGATCCCTGAGATGCACTTCCAGTTGTTATGAAAGTTTTTTAGCAGTTCTCATTATTTTCACCCTATTAGTTTTCAGGGCTTCTTAAACAAACCCTTTCCCACAGCAAATACTCTCAAGCTCTGTGAGTTTTTTAATTCAGTGTTAGGAGACCTGAGGAGACTGAATAGTTGGGGGTGGGGGGCAGGGGTGTGTAACAGCAATAGTTATGTTTTCACCTGAGCCATTTTCTGTCTTGCTAAGGATGATGTGTCTGCAGAGAAAAACATCTATTTGCCCTTCACTCCTCTAAAATTGGGACTACTCAGAAGAAGATATTTTTCTCCATGGTTTCTGCAAATTATTTTAAACCCTGAAAGTGAAGAGGTGACCTGTCAAGTTTGATTTTTAATACCAGCAATACAAATCTATTAGAGCATCATCTAGGTGCTCTCTAAGCATATGTACATTTGGTCTTGACAGGATTGAAAAAACCACAAACAACTCAGCCCAACTCAGCCCAGGGTAAACAGATCAGGCAGTGAAAAGAACTGTGGTGATCATCTTTGCTTTACCTGAAAAATGAGAAGTTCTCAGCAAAACAGGAGAGTGCCTAAGACGTGATAAAAAGCACACAACAGTCAGTATTTCAGTTCTGGCACTTTGTAGTTTTGTCTGCCCATCTGTGTGGCGTTGCCCAGTGAATTCCAGCTTCCTGGGCTCCTGAATGAACAAAACCCAGTAGAACCATATGTCTGGAGTTCCCAAGGAGCCTTAATTAGATATGGGATGCCATTTCTTTGGAACAGGAACAACTCCTTTCTGAAGTCCCTGGTCGTCTGCTCTGTATGAATCTTACACTTAATGCCAGGCATGGGTGAGGGTAGCAGGGATAGAGAGGGATAACAGCTAAAAAAGGAATAAATGTGAGCAAAAACCAGAAGGGCTGACTATCCTGTAACAGCCCACTGAAGGCCACCAAGGTGGTCAGGGAGCTGGAGCACACAGTATAAGAGGAGAGCCCAAAAGAAAAGGCCAGCAAAGACAAAGCTAAGGAGGGATCTGACTTATTTTTCCAGTGGACAGCACAAAGGTGAAGGCAGCTTTTTCTCAGAGGTGCACAGTTGTTGAACAAGAGGTCATAGGTATGAGTTGCAACACTGAAAATTCCATTTAAACATCTGAAAAGTTTACTCACCGTGGAGGTGGTCAGAAACTGAAACAACCCAGAGACATTGAGAAACCTCCAGTCTTGGAGGTCTTCAGAACATACTGGACGATGTCCTGAGCAATACCCTTCAGGCAGGATATTGAGCTGGAGACCTCCAGGGCCCCCTTCTAACCTGCATCACTCTATGAATCTTTGATTATAAATATACAGAATTTTGTTTTAGCCATCTATTGCCAAGACAATTTTACCAACATTGCCCACTTCAGATATTTCAGTTTGCAAGGAGACATTCCCAGAACTTCCATATTTTCTATTTTCCTTCTTCCTTAATCCCTCCTTCCTTTACCATGTCAAATACAGAAAGTCTGATGATGGCAAGGGGAGGAATATGCTGAGAGGGCAGTGTGTCACACTGATGTGCAGTATTTGTTTGTTTATGTTGAACTCATCAGCTGTCCCTTAGCTTATACAGGGATTGGGCTCTCTCTCAGGAGTGACCATTACTCTGCTCTGTGTTTCAGCAGTTCCAACTGCATTGCTGTTCTGGTCTGAGCTAACAGAAGCAAAACATATTTAATAAATAGGAAAGCAATACATACAGTTATTTGTATTATAATAAAGTGGTCAGATTTAGGGTTTGGGAACTATTCAGTTAGGAAGCCAGGACTGAATTGCTCTTCTATAAATAACTTCCTCAAGTGATGGTCACATTGCCAAACACAGAAAGGCTGGTTATTTTCAGACTGCCAGGAACCAGCCAGCAGGGGGTTGATGGTGGATTCTCTTTGGTTCTCGTGGTGCTGGTGTTTCCCAAAAATATTCTTAGGACTTTATATGATTTCTAGTATTTTTTCTTTCTCCCTCAACTGCTTCTGCAAATCATCTAAATCTGGTTAGTCAGTCATTTCTTTGTGTAAGCAACTCTGTATCCATGGTGTTCATTAATTTCCTTGCTCTTAGTCTGCTTGCATATTACGTTTCCTCCCAGTCTGTGGTTAATGTAGCTCATTCAAGGTTCCATAGGTAGTTATGCATTATTTAATTGCAAATGGGATGCATCACTTGGAATTCTCTTCTTCAGTGCTTCAGACTATACAGTTCAGCATTACTACATGTTGATGGTGTTTGGTGAGCACATGTTTGCTGTGAGGTGCTATGTCTTCATTACTCATGGACAACCATGCAAAAACATTGTTTGGTTTGGGGTATAACATTTCTTGCTGTCCATGCCTCCTTGGGCATTGCATTGAACATGATGCAAGTAAGTTACTGATACAGTCACTCACAATTTTAAGGTTTTGACCTGTGGGATTTGCTTACATTTTGAAAACAGTTTTGTGCCATATTGCAAAATGATGTTTAAAGGAGGGGGGGAAAAGGGCCAAAATTTAAAATGTTCTTTTTCAGTGAAATCCAAGTGGATAATTCTAATGCTGACATCTTATTTTTACATTCTAGTTTATAATAAAAACACAGTCTTCGGGAATTAAAAGCGAGTAATCCCATACTGATTTTGTCAAGACAACTTTTTCTCCCCTCACAATGAAATGTCATTGAAGTTGACACCTCCTCAGCAAAAGTGAAGTTACAGCAAAGTTATATTTATCTGATGGAAATATGTTGCTCTGGAATCTTATAGTTGATCCTAATTGGTGATGTCATTCCCGAAGTCCCTGTTCAGGTTTTTTTCTGTAAGTGAAATAGAACAATTACCTGACAACTACTTCTTAGCTCACTGGAAAGGTGAAAGCAACCCTTTCTCCATCCCACACTGCAACAGAGATTGCTTGGATTTAATACCTTCTCATGGACTAAACACTTGAGACAGACAACTGAAACTGCTGTATTTTGGGAAGTCTCAAATTCTGAAGTGAAATGAGAGCGGGTGATTTAGCAACTCATAGGTTTATGCAGTCAGACTTGTACCACTGGAAAATACCAAGCTGGAATTTCCACAGACAGGAACCTGCCTTCCTGTGCTTTTCTTCACAGAAATGTTCAAGTTGTACACATTGGACATATTGTAGAGTGCAGCCAGTGGAACCACATGCTCCAGGAAAGTTGTCACCAACCTTCAGTAGTAATCCCAAACTGAAGTTACTGGGAGTACTGAGTACTTCTGGACCAGATGGCTGGAAATGTGGCTTTCCAGTTTCCTATTCGGTGTACTTTATCCTCAGTGCACCAACAGGCCCCCTGTTCACTGGCCAAGTCTGTGGAGCTATAACAGCTCCAAATGTGGAATTTGAGAGATCACCTCGTGGTCATTTGGGAAGGTGTCCATTAGTCAGCTGAGGACAGAGCTCTAACCTGTTGCAATATCCAGTAAGAAAGGTGAGCATGCCAAAATGTGGGAGAGGCACCAAAGGAAGAAATGTCCATCTGAGAAAATAGGGATTTTTTTTCCTGTTGTCTTCCCACCTCATTCCTTGGTTGAATAAAGCAAAGTCTGATGAGTTTTTGATTGTGATGGTATAATGGATTATTGCTATTGAAATGATTGCCACTGGATATTTGAAGAGATGAAAGTGGACTGATTTCTGTTTGTTTTGTTGGTTTGTGTTTGTTGGATGCACATTGGATATGCGTGGCCGTGCTTGGCACTAACCTGGACACATGGTATTGCCCAGTATTGTGTCCTGCAGAGAATTGTCTTGTACAAAGCAGTGTCTGAGTTGTTTGAAGGAGGGATGAATATGTCTCAGGAAAGATGCATGATAGTTTGTTGTTTTACTGTATCTTGCAGATTCAACCTCTAATGATGAAGCTTCCCACCTAAATTCTTTCTTTTTGGGAGCAGAAAGAAAGGAAGAAAATGAAGAGTCTGAGCTGTTGATACATTGGGATAATCTCTTTCCATTGTATTGAACATTTCTACCTTTCCTTAAGTTTTGTTTCACCAGTTCTGCTTATCGTTTTCTCATTGTTGCCGATTCTCTCCCCTCTCTGCTGCCTCTCCCATGGATTTTAATGTTGAATTTTTTTCATTAATGAGTAACTATTTTACACAGAACAATGTGGGGGTTTTCCTCATAAAATATTTCAAGGAAAAAAACCAAAATGTAAATGCTGCATGATTAAAGAGTCATAAACCATTAACTAAAAGTCAGGATTGTTGCATAGACATTTGTAATGTATGTGTATGTCTTAAATTTTTGTGTGTCTGTGGGATGTTTGCAATTGCCTCTTTTTTCCATTTGTGAAAGAAATTCTTCTTGCTGCTAAGTGGTGAAATAAAACATTGGTAAAGGCAGATTTGATGCTAACTATGCCTTCAGTCTCATGAAAATAAGCTATTTTAGAATGTTACTGTTGGCCTATTTTGTAGCTATTTGCTTTACTGGAAGTGGTGTGAATAAGCATGCTGTGGTATGGTGCCTGGGACTATAAAAATGAGTCTTGCAGTAACAGATGTTGATTAATGATGTTATTTGTAATTATTGTTCCTGCTAGAGGGCAGGTGTGTAAAGAGAGGCCCTGCCCTGTGCTGAGTAAAGATCTGTTCTGTGCAGCTCTTGTGTCCAAGTCTTCATTTATAACACGTGCTTTCCTCTGTTGTCAGGTGGCACATCCTCAGTAGCATGGTCAAAGAGGTTCATGTAGTTTAAAAACACAAAAAGATATCCTGTCTCGAGTGCTATGCAACCTATGAACACTCTTCTGCCCTTAGAAGGGTTTTTTAAGTGATTTCATTTTTTCGGTCTTGACCCAAAACCCATTGAAATTTGCTGAAGTCTGTTCATTTGAATGGGTTTTGGATCAGGTCTGTAAGTAGATCTCTTTCCCATCCTGTTCCATGTCAGACCAGCGCAATTGGCTTCTTTTCCCTGGGATAAGCAAAACTCAGGGAGCCAAGTCCAACTTCAAGAATATTTTGTAGTTCCATAAGCTGGCATCATGGAGCTGATGATGGGCTGGCATTTCTGCTTACACTGATCAATTGCAACTCCTTGGCATGCATGAATAAAAGAATTTACTATTTTCTTTGTCACTGATGTCTCAACAAATAAATACCTCTGATATGTTTAAATTTTCCATTTGTTCCTGTCACTTGTGAAGTTTCTGTTAATACCTTGGGGTACATAGAAGCACAGGTTCCTGATATTAAAACAGACCATTGGGCTACAAAGAATGTTCTTGGGCTTTGTGGTCAATACCTAAAGAAGAAAGAGCTACCATGATGCTTCTATGCAATAAGCACAAGTTCTGCATGTGATGAGGGTTCATTTCTTTTTGAGCACTTGAAAGTTACAGTTCATACACCCTGCGGCACCTTCATGTCCTTGCATCTGAAACACAAGAACTGCTTCCCAGAGTGTGCTTCCCTCAACACAGTGTTGATCATAACCAATGTTAATGTTAAAATTTACACAAACATTACATTGATCTTGACCTATATTCTTTTCACCGAGTGAACTGTGTGTTTTTAGTCACTAATGCATCTACACAGCGAGAATGTTTTGTAAATGTCGTTCTGCTGCAATGAACAGGGAAAAATAGCAAAGGGAGGAGGGTATTATTAAGGAGTTTTTTATGTGTACTCCATAAATAGAAATATGTTGTGATACACAATCCTATTTTTGTTGGAGTATATTGAAATGCCCATTGTCTTAAACAGTGTGGATCAGTAAGCTGTAGGATTTTGTTATACTTGATTGCAAGCCTAATGTTTTGATACAATAGACTTCTTCATTCTTTACTCTTTCTCTCTTTCTATAATTTGTAGCTTACATTGAAGATCTCACAAGATGTGTTGAGCAAAGCAGAAGACTCATTATCGTGTTAACTCCAGACTATGTTCTCAGGAGAGGATGGAGTATTTTTGAGATGGAAAACAGACTCCATAACATGCTAGTCAGTGGCGAAATCAAAGTTATTTTGATTGAGTGTACTGAATTAAAAGGGAAAGTGAATTATCATGAAGTGGAATCTTTAAAGCACACCATCAAACTTCTCTCGGTGGTCAAGTGGAAAGGACCAAAAAGCAGCAAACTGAATTCTAAGTTTTGGAAGCGCCTAGTCTTTGAAATGCCAGGGAAGAAAAAGGAGGTGGTGTCCCGGCATCAGGTCCTGGATTCTGCAGAGCAGGGCCTTTTTGGAGACCTCCAGACTATCCCCTCTGTTGCTGTCACAGGCACTTCTGCCACGTTGGTGGAATCACGGGCTGATTTAACTGACTACCATCAAGCAGACTCTGTGCACATGAGACATTACTGCAGAGGGTACGAGTACGACGTGTCAGCAGCGACACTGCCAATCGCTTCCATAAGCAACCACCACACGTACTGTAACATTCCTCTGACACTCCTGAACGGACAGCTACCTCTCAACAACACCGTGAAGGACCCCCAGGAGTTTCACAGGAACAACCCACTGCTACCTTTATCAGCCAAGGAGCTTAGCTTCACCAGTGATATCTGGTAGTGGACATCAGGACTCTTTCGGGACGCTTCATGACCGCCATGAAGACACATTTTTAAAGAACTTTGCCCTAACCCCATGGGGTGAGAAAACATATTCGAAGCAGCAGCACACTTGTTTGCTTTTCTACTTGAACTTTTTTGTTTACATTTACAAATTATTGACAAAGGGGGCATTCTTTTTGTAACTCAGTAATGTCCTTCCTGTCTTTTAATGTACAGTTTTATTGCTTCTTTAAAAAGGAGGGGGAAGAGAAAAAACACACCCCACCATTTTACAGTAGGTTTACAATCTGGGATGGGTAAAAGGTCACTGTATATGGTCTCCAACATCCATACATATTTAAGTAACAGTATTTGAAATACACAGAAGTTGTTGGGTTTTTCATATAGACTACAGTACACTTTGAAATTCTAATCATGCTACAAAAATTATTATCTCCTCCACAGACCACAAGGGGTGAATCATCCTGAAAAGGAAGGAGGAGGAAACCTTCCCGGTAACATTGTCTCACAAATACTTTTTAGAAGATGACCAGCTGAAACAATGCAGATGAAGCTTTATCAATAAATACATAGTAACAGTTACTGCAGAATAAATCACCTGCTCCCATCAGCATCTCTTCATTTTATTATTGAGGCATGTTGTATTCCTAGTCAATGGTTAGCAATGTGGTTTTACTAAACAACTTACTAGAATATCGGAAGATGTTTAGGAGGATTTTAAACGTTTTTTTCTGTCAATTATAGATTATTTCACAACTTTTTGCAGATTTATAATGACTTTTTCCAAACAATTTAAGTAGAAATTTATCTGTCTATTGGTCTATTAATTAATTTGAAATTTCTTATGATCTCTTGAGCCCTATTAAGATTTGTAGAAAAGGCAGTGTATTATTACATAGGATTTTCTTTCCAAAATCAGTAGTTACAATTTGAAATCAACCTTTTTGTGAGAACATCAGCAATAGAAAATAATTACTACAGCAATATTCAGAGATGAAGTGCTAAATTATTCAGGTTTACTGGTAAATCTGACTTCAGTTGCAGTGATAATGACCTGAGACAGTTTTCTCTCTTGTCTATCTACCTGTCAGTTTATGTACTTTTTAAATTTGGCAGAAGCAGGAATATTTCTGCTGTCTGTGCAACTAGTGAAAAGTGATGTTTTTAAGCATCTGTTAAGGTCTTGCATTTCTCACTTATGTGAGTGATCCCATCAGTCAAATAGGATACTGTCATTTATCTTTCATGTAAGGCATTCCTGCTGCTGGTGGATGAGAAGTGTTATACAGGTACTCTGCATCAGGCATTGCTGCTCAGTGAGTACCAGTGAGATTTCCATACTCAGTTGATTAAGAGTTGCAGAGTGGAGTATTTAAGGAAAAAAGCCCTAAATAATGAAGCAGAAGCCAGTTTTGCAGGTTTTGGCCCAGCTCTAATGAAAACACAGTAGACATGAGAGTTTTGTCTCAATGAGATCTGCTGGAGCAAATTCCCAAAAATATTTTTAGGCAGGCAGCCTTGCCTGTGTTTCAGTATGGCTTTAGCATTGTTCTCTTTGATTGCATGAATAAAAGTTAGCACTCTGCACTCAGCTGCCTGTGGTTTCATCAGCAAACAAGTTCAGTAAATCCTTGACATTTTGCAGTGGTTCCTAAATTGTACCCTACAGTCAAATGGAAACAAACACTGACCTAAGACTTAAAAGTCAAAGAATTGGCCCAAAGGCCATGAGAATGATCTTGAATGTGCAATAATTCATAGAGGTCAGTATTTTTCCATTGCTTCTTTCCCCAGTTCTTTATTCTGTGCCCTCCTACACCAGTTATTGTCTGTAAGATTTTTATTAGGTTCTAAATAATACATGTTTCTCTTGTTTTTTCTAGCATTATTATGCATTTGACACTAACACTGAAAATGGAAATCTAGAAAAGATATTAATTTATTACACAGTATAGAAACTTTAACTTGCTCTTTTGTGAAGTTAAGTTCCAAACATATAGGTGTTTAATAGACGTATTTTTCTACTGAGAAAGAAAGCGATTTTACCTCCATTATAAATATATGGATTTCAACCTCCTCCCAAAAATTTACAAAATTTGCACTGTTTTATAAGTGTTACAGACTGTGTTTACACTGGCTATGTTCTTTAATGCAAAGTGTAATTAAAAAAAAAAAGGAAAAAAATTCCTAAAAGCAAACCCTGCATGAAAAGAGCTGCATATGTTTAAATGAAAAGCTGTACTTTTCATTATTTTCCTTCCCACATTACTCTAGAATCTGGTTAATTCACATAGAATGTTCAGTGAGATTTTAAACCCGCTAGTTCTGTATTAAGCATGCAAACTCCAAAAAAAAAAAAAAAAGAAAAGAAAAAACATATGCAGGTTGGTCTGCTTCTTTTATTTACAAGGACTAAATATGGGTAACAAATTCATTCACCCAGTGGTAATATGTCTCTTAGAGCAGTAGTTATTCCAAAGCAAAATGCAGTCATGTTTGCATTGAGGAAACATGAAAAGAACAGTTTTTCTGTCATTTTGCAAAAGCACATTGAGTGTCTATGTATTGATATTTTTTAGTTATAGATGCCAAGTCACAATCTGCTTTAAGATTTCTGAGTGTGTATTGAGTACTACGACAATATATACATGAGTTGGAACTGCCTGTACCCCTCTGCTTCTAGTGTGGGGATGGGGAGCTGAGCTTGGGAGGCCTCTCGTGGACTCAGTTTCATGTAGTACCAGTATAGAATCATGGAATTGTTTGGGTTGGAAAAGACCTCTAAGATGATCGGGTCTAACCGTTAACCCAGCACCGCCAAGCCTGTCACTAAACCATGTCCCTGAGTGCCACATCTACATGTCTTTTGTGTATCTCCAGGGATGGTGACTTCACCACTGCCCTGGGTAGCCTCTTCCAGTGCTTGACAACCCTTTAAGTGAATAAATTTTCCCTAATCCAATCTAAACCTCCCCTGGCACAACTTGAGGCCATTTCCTCTTGTCCTGCTACTTGTTACTTAGGAGAAGAGACCGACCCCCACCTGGCTACACCCTCCTTTCAGGTAGTTGTAGAGAGTGATAAGGTCACCCCTGAGGCTCCTTTTCTCCAGCCTGACACCCCCAGCTGCCTCAGCCTCTTCTAATCACACTTGTGCTCCAGACCCTTCTCTTGCCCTTCTCTGGACATGTTCCAGCACCTCTGTGACATGCAAGAGGCCACATGCTTCCACAGGTAGCACTTAAGGGTCTGGAAAAATACAGTCAAACAGTGAAATGCATCCATCTGTGGGATTTGGGTGGCACAGGAGTTTGTCCCACTGTGAAAACCACCACCAGAGCAGCCCTCCAGCGGGATCCCTCATGGCAGCAGTAACAGCTGGATCAGGGCCTTGGTGGCAAGAATGTGAACCTCATTAGCTGAAATAGAAGGGCATATGGGCATTTTGCATTCCTCTGTCCCACCAAAGCCATGGGGGCTTTATCAGCTGGATTTATCAGGGAAGGGGCCAGGGCACTACCCTGACTGTGCTTGGTGCTGCATCTCGCTTGGGTGACTCTGCAGCCCTGCCACCCCCAACTTGTCAGGCTGTGCCTTCCCTGGTGACAAAATCACCAGCAGCAAACATCCTTATTGCAGCCACAGGGACTTCTGATTTGGGGCATGCTCATTTTAAAGATGATTTATTGTAATGTTTGGAAGCTACTGTTTGTATACTTACCTTTATGTGTGATGTACTTCAGAGGCAATTGTGGTTTAAAGGTTGTCTATAAAAAGAGCTAGAAATTGGAAACCTATTCAGCTGCTGCAGATTTTATGTTCCTAAAGTAAGTTCAGGAAGAAAACAGGGTAATTTTAAATTAACTAACAAAGTACAGTGAATATTGACAGTTCTTGGGAGCTGTGTGTTTGGCTGGTATTTTAATAACATTCCTTTCTCTAGACAGTGGATGAGAAAGATATATATAAAGGTATTACCATACTCTTGCTACCAGGTCTGCTCCAAAACCCACTCAAGCCAATAGAAAGAGCTCCATCAAATTCAGCAGACTTTGGATAAGGCCATAAACCTTATATTTACTGTGTACAGAGAAATACAAAAGACAAAAGGGAGAGAAAGAAGTCAAAAGACTAAGGAGCATTTGCTTATTTATTCTGTCTAAAATCAAGCTTATTTTTGTCCCTGTTTGGTGTGGATATGCTCCAGAACCATCCAGCCTTGGGAAAGGAATTTTGTTCATTCTTTGTTATAAACAAGATAAGGACTTGGGAATAAATAACAGATACTTTTGCAGGGAAAAAAGAAATCATTATTTTTAAGGGCTTCTGCTCTCAGTAGTTCCTTTGATTCAACAGGCTTTCTCTGTTCATCCAAATGCATAAGCACATACTTAAATTCCCCTTAATTCAGTGAGAAATACTTTACTGAGCAGGGGCCTGGAAGGGCAGTTCAGTGCCAGAAATCACAGGATTCAGCAGCCTTTAGAATTGTGCCCTTATGGAATGCTCCGAGCAGCTTTCCCAGTGTCCGTCTCTGAACGGACACTGAGAATTGAGCTTTATGGCAGAGCAGCTGTCAGGTCTCACAGTCCTGGTCACAGGAGAGGAAGTCTCCAATGCATGTTAGCCCTGACAGAGACACTGCCCTGGGAACTGTTTCACAGATGGGAGAACAGTGGGGGTTTTGCACTGTCTCCCAGTTGGGCAACTGGGAGCTTATCCCATGGGACAGCTTGGTTAGAAATACTGTCTGCAAGAGACCTCTACCTCCATGCAGCATTTCGTCCATCCCCTCTTGTGCACCCTTTGAGGTTCATGCTGGGGCTGCAAAGTTACTGGGACACTGAGAAATAATTGGGCAGTGTGAAGAAGAGAGGGGAAGAAGAGAGTAGAGTCCAAGGGTTTTCCAGGCAGAAACACTGATTGACTATAGGACAATGGCAGCTCTTGCATGAATGCATCATGTTTGTCCACTATTCAGTGGATGCTGTGCAAAGTTCCCCAGAAAAATGTCATTTCTTAACATCAGTTCTGCAGCTCTTGCAACACATCATTGCTGGGTGCTGTATCAGTTTGCTGTCCCCGGGGGTCTGACTGTGAAATCACAGCCAGAGCCTGGTTCCAAAGCAATTAAGCCACACAGGAGCCAGATCTTATCAAAAGTCCACAGGAATTAGTCCTGATCCTCAGTTTTTGTAATACCAACATCGGTAAGTTAGGACTGGGAGAAATGATGACTGCAGTGAGCAGTGGAGCTGGAAGATCCACACCAAGGTATCAGGGAGCCAATGGGTCTGAAGGAAAATGGGTACCTGACCTGAGTAAGTAATATTCATTAAAAATAATCAATATTGGTCTGTTTGTTTATAAAATAATGAAAACTACAGAAAAGTACCTTCCTCCATGGTCTTGGAAGCATTTAAGCTTTTGAAATTTCATAAATAACAGTGATTAAAACAGTTCCATTTTGGCACTAGTTTACCCGGCAAATGTTAAAAATATGGCACTTTGGAATACTTTGTTACAGGAAGAAAGCAGAATTTGAAAATGGGAAGTAATGGCACATCATATTCCTGCAAACACAAAGAACAGAGTTCTGAAAAGTAATTTGCTTCCCCAAAGAAAGGACCTGCAGCATTTGTGATGTTGAGGGAAGGACAGCTTTGCAATGCTTACCACAGGAAGCCATTTGATCACTTCAGTGCCACTGGAGAAATTCAGAGGTTAATAAGGCTGCTCCAAAGAGGTATAAAACAATGTTTCAAAAAAGGAAACACAAAGTAAAAGTTACCAAGCTTTGCCAGGATATTTGTCATATAAATATAAAACATCAGCACTGCCAGTAGAAGCATAACATGACCTGTCAGCATTTTCTCTTCTTTGCAATACCATTGTAAAGCTACAGACCAAGCAGGAAAGCAAATAAATAATAATAATAAAAATACAGTTTGTCAAGCTGAGCCAGATTCTCACGGTAGGTATTCTATAAACAACTCCTCTAATTCATTTTGATAGAGTGTAATTGGCTTTACAAGGTTTTAAGAGCTTTCTTCTCTTCAGGACAAACACAAAGACAAAACAATGTACTTCATATTAGATGGGTTTTGCAAATTTCTAAGACTGTAAAATAATTCCTTCATACACAGCAGTGGGTGGTAAATGTTTTCCTGGCTGCAAGTATCCATTGTGTGTATTCAGAGTGGTTTATTGGAGTGAGAGCACCAACTGCTGTTGCTGAGCCCAGCAGAGCTGGTAGACCAACAGGGCTACGTTCAAGGGCAGTGGGGTACCCAGCGTGCTCAGCATCACTGGGTGGGCTCAAATATTTGGCTGGGCAATACCTAGAGAATAGAGCACAAGTTCAGGCTGTGCTCATACTGGATAGAGGGATTTGCAAAACCCTGGTGCTCTCTTTTAATGGAGAAATACAGGCAAGCGAAGGTGGAAAGAAAATTGTCAAAGGTAGAATTGTGTGCCTCATTTCTCTCTAAATCCAAATTATTTGGGATTCAGAGCATGCCCTGGGATTTATGACGTGGAGGAGGGAATTAGTGATTCTCATGCAGAGAGTACAAGGGGCTTTGCTTTTACTACCAAGACATATTTTCATGAGAAATCAAGACCCTAACATGGGCTAGACTTCATGTAAATTAGCCTCTTATGAGATGACTCAAGAAGAGAGGGTCTAATGAGATGTGAAGAAGCTTTCAAAGCACAGTATGCTCTGATCAGCTTGTGTATGAGGCTTAAAGGTAACTTCTGTCAGCATCTAAAAGGGAGCATTTAAAACTTAGTCCCCAAATAACATTAGAGACTCCATGTTCTGTGAATTAACATCTCTTGCACAGATTATAACAACCTTTAAAACCCTTAACAGCTCTTTGATTAAAAGATATCAAAGGCTTTATGATCATGAAACAATCAATCTAACACCTAAATCCTCTGGGGAAATATTTTCATCCACCCTTTAGCAAATGAAAAATACGGTTAAGATCCATTTTACCCAAGATCCCACCAAAAACCAAAGGCAGAGCTGAGGCTGTGCCCACAGTGCCCCAGTTTGGAGTTCTGACCAGTAGATAATATTCCCTGGACTGGACTGGTAACTGGATTGCCTCATTCTGGCTCTGTGGCTGCATTGTCTCAACCAAAGAAAAAGTTTGTTCCAGCCTGTGTGAACAACCTCTGTGTGTCCCCTGAGTGGGTCACAGTGGGGCTGTTTTGGGGGTACAGCAGAGCTGTCCCAGAGAGAGTCATGATGCTTCCCTGTGGGATCAGCAGCTCATTGCAGAAACAGGAAAAGACAAGCTAATCATCAGCAGTGAAGTGACTTTGGAAGGTCACAGACTGACAGGAAAGCTGTGTGCTGTAGCAAATTATTGGCAAAAGGAGACAGCGGGGGAAAACATTGAACTGACACATAATTTGTACCTAACAACCAGCCTGAACCCATATCAGAGGTCTGGCTGTTATGCTGCCAAACTCAGGGAAAATCTGAACAAAGTTCAAACTTCATTGCTTTCACCCATCAGCATAATGAACAGAAGAAGCATCTGTGATGTGACAGTGCCAATCTGCAAGGTAGGCTTCAATCCAGGGCCAGAAGTTTTCAGCTATTCTCCAGACAAAGTGCCCAGATGAATGCAGGTGTAGGTATAGGTTAGTGTACAGACAATTCAAAGCAGCCCCTTCATGGTGGAAAAAAGAGAGCAGCCTGAGACAGCAAAATAAAGGAGGATGTTCATGAACTTGATCGACCTTGGTAGATTCCCCAGCTGTGAAATACAAGCATGAGGGCCCTGTAAGATAAGTGACGTGGCAGAGGCAGTCAAGCTGGGTGAATGTATCCCAGAGGTGCTACAGAGTGGGGATTCAGGGTAGAGAGGGACAGGAGCTGAGTGCATGAGGGGAAGGAGCCCACCACCACTGCCTAGAGACCTGCCCATGCCAGCAGCTGGTGGAGATGTGTAGGGTATGGACTCTGCTTGGACACAATGGCAGCA